TCTACATTTTTCATTTTGTCGGTTTCTGCATTTGATTGGACCGGTAGCTTGCCGAAGCACCGCAGTTGCACCCCCGTGGACCTGTGTTTCATGACACTTGGCGTCATGCAACACGTCTATTGCAGATCCATGAGCAACTTGTGGGCCTCGCACCCAGGGCACGAGTTCGAATAAGGAAGCTCACATTAGAACCTCATTGAGCGAGCCCTGCGCTGGTGTAAAAACGAGGCGTCTTGGGTGCGGCGACAACGTCGCCATGGACGACCGTCGAGCGGCGAAGATGAACTCGTGAAAACGTCCAGCATGGCGTGGTTGACGACGTGGCAGAGAAGACAATACATTTACTCTCGACGAGTATTTACGCCACGTGTACGATCTAGCACAGTGACCGCACACCGCACACATATGTTTACGTGGGCTGCCCGTAGCTCGCACACTCTTCCGCTCAATCTATGTTCCAGTATAACCTCTCGGGCCACAATGCTGGAGCGACGACAGAGCATTGGTCCAGAAAAGCATGCGCACCGTAGCGTAGCTGCGGTAGAGTGTTGGCTTTTGTGCAGGCCGTGCCTTGGCAAGAAGCGAGCCTGGCCTTTCACGTTTGAAGAACTCATTATCGATGGGTTGCCCAGGAGGAGGCGGGTGGGCTTGCAGGCCGCTTTGGCTTGCTTTGCTGTCCGGACCTTTGTTCTTCTGTTCTTCTGACTCCATATTTGGCGCGAAAATGTCTTGTTTGAGGGATTGTACGATAACATCGAACAATACGAAGAAGTAGATATTAACTTATTTTCTCAAGCTAATAAGAAAGTTGTGTTCCTACCAGCCCACTCCCCCGCAGCCTAGTGTAGTATGACCTCGTGTCCTTGTCCGTTCACTCTTTTGAATCGATGACGCACCAGACGCAAAGGAGCCAACGGATGCCAGCGTGTACCCGGGATGTGTGACGCGTCATACGTAAGCCTGCTCGATCATGAACGGGCGGCTCTGGTGTGTCGGGGGCAATCCACCGCGTTGGTTCCACCCAAAGCACTGCGACGTTTATGCCTACGCGTTATTAGTATTCTAGTCCTTACAACGCACAGCTATTCTATCTCAACAAGTATGTATATTTGGATTGTAATTGTCCGAAGAAGGGATTGAGTCTAAAGACTTGAGTTTGCCCTTTTGTCACGAAACGCGACGCCGACGGTTTCGCACCAACAGCTGTTCCTAGGTATTTATCCATATCGTCTCAATCGCCTCTTGGCATCAAGAGGCTCCACTCGCCACACCCCATACACCAGCTCATAAACGATGCTAACTTTAACGTTACAGTACATTGTAGATGCGCCCCTCCCTACTAGTTTCAGAGCTGCTATATAACAAAATGTATATCGTCTGCACGAGCCTTCCGTTGTCATATCGAGCTGTCGCCATGGCTTACAACACCTCGGTTCGGCCCATACTCTTTGGCCCACACTCGGGATGTGATATCATAAAGACTCCAACCACCTAGCTGCGCTCCGCGACGTGCGTCCACTGTGTTGGATGAATGCTGATCGATGCCGTGTGTACTGCTCTGCATGATTGCACGCAAAATGAGACGCTGTGGAGAATGCTGCCACGGGATCGGGTGGCCAGCTGCTTGCGGTTTTCAATTCGTGAGATTCCAGAGTCGCGGCCGATGCAGCTGGCGTATCGCAGACAGCGACAGCGGCGACGTGTCCTTCGTCCACTTTGAGAGTACGCAGTCTATTTTGCAACTTGCTATGGGCGCTACCGTCCTCGTCGTGGGCCTCTTGCTCACCGTCGCCGTCGCGCCTGTCGCTGCGGTCGTTGCAACAATTTACCTCGAGGCCAACTACAGCGGCTTGTCGCTCGATATGGACATCTTTAGCGGCAACACGAGCCTGCCGTGGACGCTCGGAATTGCGTCCCTGCGCATCTTGCCAGGGTACGAGCTCGTGGGGTATGACGCACCGGCGTTTCAAGGCTACTACATGGTTTGGGACGCCGACGCGCCGTCGCTCGGGTCGCTCTGGTCGTCGCGCATCCTGTCGTTCAAGATTCGCAGCGCAACAAACGACCTCGTGTTGGCGCCCAACAACCTCCAAAACGTCGTCAACGTGTACCAAGCGAGCAAGTTTTCCGGTCAAATGCGGTCATTGCCCCTCGGAAAAGATACTTTCAACTCGCCGCTGGCGCGCGCCGTCATGTCGATCAAGGTCACGCCGGGATACCTCTTTGTCGCGTACGACGGGCCTGACCAGTCGGGCAAGTCGACGTCGTTTGCGGCCGACACGGGCGATCTCGCGGCGTGGGACGCTCGGATTCTGTCGTACGACCTTCGCCGAATCTCCAATGCGACCGTGACGCCTGCAACGCTCGTGCCACCGCCGCGCCCGTCGACGACACCGGCCCCGACGTCGACCAACGACGAAGCGACCAACTGTACGTCCTTGTTGCATGCGCTGCGACTCGTTGACGACGATGCATGATGTAGACACAACCATCATCATTGCATGCACGGCCGCTGTCGTTGTCGTTGTCGGTCTCGTCGGTCTCTGCTTGTTGCGCCGCATGAAAGCTGCGAAAGCCAAAGGCCCGTCGTCTTCCCAAGGTGCTACATCGCGCCACAGCCAAGACGAGAGTGCGTCACTGGCCATCTCGTTTGACGCCATTTACAAGCTTGCGTTGGACGGCTCGCTGTTGTCTCTTCAGCAGCTCATTGGCTGTGGCGCGTACGCCGAAGTGTGGCGAGGCTCGTTCCAGTCGCAGCCTGTCGCGGTCAAGACGCTGCTCTCAAACCGCGCAACGAACCAAGGCATCCAAGATTTTGTGCACGAGATTGCACTCATGGCCAGGTATTTCATTCCATATTTCAAATGTCGTAGTCGACTTTGAACTAGCTTTGACTCGCCCTACATTGTGCGCGTCCTCGGCGCGACGTGGCATCGTCCATTGGACCTCAAGTGCATCATGGAACTCATGAACCTCGGGGACCTCAAAGACTATCTGGCGCATCATTCGAGTTGTGCATATCCGTGGAGCCAGAAGCTCCGATCGATTCAAGCCATTGCCAATGCACTGGTGTATTTGCATTCGCTCAACATCATTCATCGCGATCTCAAGTCCCGAAACGTGCTCCTCGACTCAAAAAAAGGCACCAAAATCGTTGATTTTGGCGTCTCGCGTGAAGACACGAACGCGACCATGACCACGGGCGTGGGCACGTTTCGGTGGATGGCCCCCGAGGTCCTTCAGGACAGCTACTACAGCGTCGCTGCCGACATTTACTCGTTTGGTACTACATTGATTGATGGCAATGTTGCAATTTGACGTATGAATGATTAGGGATGGTGCTCTCGGAATTTGACGCGCACCACATTCCGTACCAGAATGTGAAAAATACCAAAACTGGCCTTCCGCTGGTCGACACAGCCATCATCGGCGCCGTCCTTAACGGTGCGCTCCGACCCGAGTTTTCGAGCTCGTGCCCTGCGTCCATCCGCGACCTTGCGCTCCTGTGCTTGGCCCACGACCCGGCCAACCGCCCCACCGCCTACCAAATCGCAGTCATGCTCAAGGAGATCCAGTTGTAGACCAGACGACGACTAATATTATTACTTCGTACTATTTTGCCAGACAGATTGTTTTCACCCTGCATAACGTCGTCCCGCCGTACATAAGTATCGGCGGTCTTGCTTGCAGACGAAATCCCATTTCCACGCTTCTGATTGGCTATGTGAGATATGTTTATGGCCAATCCGAGGTGAGCCGTCCACCGGCGTCGCCGATCCAAAGCGCTCGAATCGCAAATTGGCGTTGAAAACTCGATTCGCTTCAACTTGGCCCATTGATAGTAGACACCTTGGAGATCATGAAATGCTACACCGCATGCTCGAGACGTGAGCAGGGCATACTTTATTCGCGCAATTACTTCTTGCGGCATGTGCCACTAATAAATGTATGATGCCACATCTAACAGCGAACGGGAAACCGCAGCGAAATCTCGGCCAAAAAGTTTAGGAATGAGCCAAATATTCCCCTTGTGTGTTTCTCAATGGTCAACAGGTAAGTGTGTACATACTCCAAACGTTATGTGGGAACGCAAGAGGACTGCAAATTTCGAGTCCGCAATCACGCTTGAGGCGTTTTTGGCGTATCACAAAACAAAAAGTTCAATCTCTATTACTAGTATTCGCCTTGGATTGGATAGTGCACTTGACCAATCGTCCCCGTTTCTTCCGACTCATAGCCCGAGTCGTCGGCCTCGTCGTCGCCGTCATAGAGAGCGAGTGCTGCCGCCGTCGCGTGCGCATCATCCACCAGTGCTTCGGGTGTTATGTGCTCTGTGCGCGGGAAGCCCGCGGCCTTGAACTTTGGTAGCACCGCTTCCCGAAAGTACGTGTGGGGGATGACTTTTTTCAGCGCTTGAACGGCCTTGGCCTTGGTCACGTCGTGCGCCAAGAGGTATGAAAGGACATCGTTCCGGTCGCACGTGGCCGCAAAGATCATGCCGCTGTACGTAAACCCTTCCGAGCGTTCGGCGAGGAGAAATTTCACGATACTCAAGTGGCCTTGATCGGCAGCAAAGTCGATCGCGCGCGTCGTGCAGCCTTCGTGGCGGTGCTTGTGCAAGAATCGCACCATGGCTTCGTTGCCCTTGTACGCCGCCCCGTCCATCGCCAGCGTCGACCCGCCCTCGCGGCGGTGTTGAATGAGAAAGTCCAGAAGCGGGCGGTTGCCGTGGATCGCAGCCGCGTCAAACGCCAAGGTTGTGCAGCCTTCCGTTCGGTTGAAATGGAGAAATTTGACAATCTCGAGGTGGCCAGCGCATGCCGCGGCGTCCATTGCCATTGGTGTACAGCTGGCCTTTTGCTTGTGTAAGAAATTGACTATGTGGCGGTGGCCCTTGAATGCTGCCAGATCCATCACATGTGGAGGACATGGTGCGTGGCGCGTTGTGATCAAATACCGAAGGAGCCCGAGGTGACCAAAGCGCGCCGCATACAACGTGGCCTTTTCCGGCGTCTCCAAATGCGGGTAGTGCTTGAACAGAAACGCAATCGTGTCAAGATGATGCTTCCGCATGGCGCCTTCCAGGGCTTTTGAAGAAATCCCGCTGCACTCCATCTCGTGGAGGAAGCGAAGGACGCTGAGATGGCCGTATGACGCCACTCGGTCCATGATCAAGTGGGAACTACCGACGGTAAAGTTGGCCATGCCCGCAACATCGACGCCTTTTTCATACACAAGGTACTGCAACAAGCCAAGATGACCGCCGAGCGCCGCCGCTGTCGCCAGCGTCTCTTTGGCCTGTAGAAAGGGTGCGAGCTCGTCCAGCCACAAGTTTTCCATGGGCGCCGACAGGAGCGCAGAGGTGTAGAACGGCTTGGCACCGGCGCCTTGGTTTGGATACAGCTCCTTCTCGTACCAGAGCAAGACGCCCAAGGGCTTGGTTCGGACGTAGAGCAAGTCCTTGACAAGTGCGTACATGCGCCGCGACCGAATGAGGCGCATCTCGGAGCGATCGAGCTCGGTGTACTTGTGTGGGAGCGTGACGAGGTCGCCGCGCCAGTCGGACCGGAACGCGCCGGCCCAAATGCTTCGCTTGACGTCGTACCACGCACCGGAGTCCATGGCGTCCTTGTCGATGCGCCCGTTGATCCACTGTGTGAGTGGGCCAGCATACGCAAAAATCAGGGCGTAGGTCGACCACGTTGGCCCAGTACGTCGTCGTCGTATGCATCTGTGCTCGTCGATGGTTTTCTTAGAATGACCACCGACGTGTCGACCGATAGGCTGGCTTATTATCAAGTAGCAACAAATTATCAAGTATGAGAATACATCAAGTAGCCGCACTAGTTATCCGGACAATGGTCGCATTGTAGTCCCATTTTGATGCGACTCTTGGCCAAATAAACGCGACAACCAACGCTATTGTTGCACAAAATTGTCTACAGGAACGTCGACCGATGTTTTTACAAGACCAGAAAGCCCGTGCGGCTGGTTTCACTCAACCGATCCGTGGTCTCGAGGTTTGTGTTGCGGAGCGTACTGCCGTTCTGCGACCGGTTCCGGCTCACGGCCGAGCGCGATCGCGACCGAGCCCGCTCTTCGAGTTGCTACACAAGGCCCTCGTTAAGCGCCCAAGCCAGCGCGAGAACGTACACTGCGGTTGTCGAGGTTGCGCGTCAGACGCAAAAGCGCGGCTGACGTCGACACGTCGTCTTTACTACTCATCGCACGCGAACCAAACCGAATCGACCGGTTCGTCGGCGACTGCCGCGAGTTGGCGAGCTCTCCAAACACTGAGTTGGGCTTGAAGAGCAGCTACACGAATGAACCCTAAACCCTTGTACAGACTAGAAACACGCAACGTTACCTCGTTGTACGTGCCCTGCTCGACAATCTCGCCGTTCTGCATGACAAAGATCGCGTCCGCGTGCTGCGTCGTCGCAATGCGATGCGTGACCGAGATAATCTAGACCAAACAACATGGATAAATCCTCTATAACTCCAAACGCAGAAATGAAATGTGTACCGTCATATGCAGCGAGCGCACGAGCTTCTCGAGCGTCTGCACAATGCTGGCTTCGGTCTCCGGGTCCAGCGCACTCGTGGCTTCGTCGAGCAAGAGCAGACTACAAGTAGCAGTGTATCAGTGTATCAACCAAAAAGATCGAAAAATATATACCTCGGCTGCCGCACGAGCGCGCGGGCCAGACAAATGCGCTGGATCTGGCCGCCACTGAGGTTGACGACCGCGTGCTGCCCAATGATCGTGTCGTAGCCGTCCTTGAGACCGTCCACAAAGACGTGGCACTCGGCCAGCTTGGCGGCTTCCAAGCACATTGCACGGGTCGCGCCGTCCCGGCCATACCTATCCACATGCATCGTAAAGGCCATCCGACAGCAAAGAGGAAGAGCGTACGCAATGTTGTCGAGGATCGAGCCGTTGAGAACACCGCCGTCTTGAAACACGACCGCGGTCTGGTCGGCGAGACTCGCCTTTGAGTAGTGTTGCGTGTCGTACGAGTCGAGGCGCAGCGTGCCGGCCGAGATCGGGTAAAACTGCATGAGGCAGCCGAGGAGCGTGCTCTTGCCGCAGCCACTCGGACCCACAATGCACGCGTACTCGCCCTAGTCCATTT